CAAAACTACAACATGTCAAGGCCACAAAACTACAACATGTCAAGGCCCCAAAACTACAACATGTCAAGGCCACAAAACTACAACATGTCAAGGCCCCAAAACTACAACATGTCAAGGCCACAAAACTACAACATGTCAAGGCCACAAAACCACAACATGTCAAGGCCACAAAACTACAACATGTCAAGGCCACAAAACTACATGTCAAGGCCACAAAACTACAACATGTCAAGGCCCCAAAACTAAAACATGTCAAGGCCCCAAAACTAAAACATGTCAAGGCCCCAAAACTAAAACATGTCAAGGCCACAAAACTACAACATGTCAAGGCCCCAAAACTAAAACATGTCAAGGCCACAAAACTACAACATGTCAAGGCCACAAAACTACAACATGTCAAGGCCCCAAAACTAGAACATGCCAGGGCCCCAAAACTACAACAAGTCAAGGCCACAAAACTACAACATGTCAAGGCCCCAAAACTAGAACATGGCAGGGCCACAAAACTACAACATGGCAGACGCCCAAATTGGACAATTTTGGCTTCAGTTTTTGACAGTAAAAGATAATGGAGTCTGTTCCTCCATCTTTATTTTTGTCGATGTTAGAATGGCTAATCATGCTAACGGTTGTTTTTCCTTCATACTGTTTTCTGTCTCCTCTCAGCTTTTAACTGTTTCAGCATGTGGTCCAAGTCTAATGTTGACCGGATTAGGAAACATGCACAGAAAAACCAACTAAAAACTGTTTCAGTCGTGTTGAGATTCTTATGATACAAAGTTCTTTGGACAGGTTTCGTGCAGCCATTCGTACTTGGAGTTTGTCTTGAGATCGACTCGGCTACTGTCACACCAAACTGTAGCATGTTTGTAAAACTGACTCACGTATAGCCAGTTTTGTGTTTTCCAGGTGAAGTTGGGTTGTAGATGTGCATTCTGGGATTACTTCCTAAAAGTTCAAATCTATACAGTGGTTAATGGGATATTTAGCTAACAGACAGAGTGCACTTCAAATATTTATACTGCAGAAAAACAGTTTTTAAAACTATCTGGAGTCGTGTGAACGAGGCCCTAAATAGACACTTTACTTCTCTACTTGTATGACTTGTAGACTTTCTGTAACTGTTAGATCATTCCAGATGTACTGCAGAGCCAGTAGAAGAGTAGCCGTTAGCTCTGTTCACTGTAAATATCTAACTGGGGAACAGCACCAGACTTTCCAGTCCAGACACCAGCTGGATGCACAGACTGTGAGAAAAGAACCAAACAGCTGATTCATAACTTCAACACCGATTTTTGTCTTCGCCTACTCTGTTAGCCTTGTCGACGTTTACATATTCAGATGCCTCTGCCATCAGCAGACTGTCAAAACTGTTGTGACTCCTACAAAAAAGAACCGGTAGCATCGGTGGGAACCAGCTGGATCCCCCCACCCCCCACCCCTGGAAGTGACCCGGCTGGTCCGAGTGTTTCTGTTCCATGCGCTTTCTTCATTGCCTAAATCACTTGTCTTAGCTGTTAGAATGTGGATAAACAAGTACAAACCAGTGCCTTCTAGAGTCAGACAGGGGTTAGAGTAGATGAGGGGCTCAGCGGAGGTGGGGGGAGGTCAGGACTGGTTGAATGTGGAGCACATAGACCAGGCCAGAGTCCAGAGCTTCAACAGCAGAGGGTCTCTGGTTGGACCTGGTAGTTTTAGCAGGACGTGCCATATGAAGCCTTAGAACTGAGTTTGACTCCACGGGCCCGACCTCATCCCTCTTCTGCCCCCCTCCCCTCCCTTTGAAGCCCCCCACCCCCCTTGCAGCAAAGCTCCCGTTGGTTCCCAGATGCTGATTCCTGCCACAGAGACATGAGGGAAGGGGAGGCCTGTCCTGCGTGTCCCCGTCCTCGTCGCTCCCTCCAGCTCAACACCAAATTCAGAGGGAAATAAACGTGTCTGCTGTTTGTTGTTGTTGTTTGTGAAATGTTTTATTTATTCCTCTTTTCTATTTGGGTTTACATTGAACTTTTTCAGCTCGTAGTTTTAGATCGCTCTTATTTTGTTTTATTTAATGTATTTTTTTTTCCCAGAATTGGTTTTAATTTCACACATAAAACTTGTTTTTAACTCCACCCTGCATCAAATGACATGAAACACAAGAGACTGTCATAAACTGGTGCACGCACACACACACACACACACACACACACACACACGTTCCAGTTTCAGGTAACTGAATATATTTACTGTTATCACCATAGCAACTGTAACTTCCTGGAAGTTGATGCTCACATGTAACAGAATAAAAAACAAATGATTTTCTGGGTTCCTTTGTATTTATTTTATTTTTTAATAAAAGTCAAATCTAAATTATGATTTTAAAATGGAATAATAATAAAGGATGGTTCGCTCGGGTTCTTTTTTGTGAGGTAAAAAAACATGTACAAAAAAAACCATCTCTTGGATCAGAAGGAAAACCAGAAAAAGTTCATTTTCTGCAAACAGTCATTGAATGCAGAACGCTGAATATTTTTTATTAAAATTTGATGACGAATGAACCGAGTTAGTAAATTTAAAAGAAGCGGGTCAAAAAACAGCAACACGGTGGCAAAAAGCAACATAAAAAGAAAAATAATGTTTTTTCCTGAACAGATGAGATCCAAATGGATTTCTTCTGGGATTTTTTTGTAAAGTTAAATAATACAAAAAATAAAAGTTACAAAACCAAAAGTCGTAGCATCCTGTTGCTAATTGAGCTAACAGTGTTTATATATGAATAATTAAAATACGAGGAAAATAGGAAAGTAATTTGCAGAAATCAAACTACGAACATTTAGAATCTGTAAAATGTTCAGGTGTAAACCTGCAGATGAGTTAAATCAGTAAAACGGTTACAGAAGGAGAACAGATGAGGCTCAACAAGACGCTCTCCTGGATGGCAGACAACCATCAATCGAAAGAGACGATGTTGAAACTTGAGTTTGCTACAGAACCAAGAAACTCTGAACATAAACGAGCTCAGAGTCAGAAAGTCTTAATGAATTGAATTTCATGTCTAGTGAAGCAGCAGGAGAGATTACAGTTAGCCTGCCTTTATTTCATTTCAATAACTAAAGATTTGAAGCCATTTTCATAATTGTTGTGCATTGTGTTTTTTCCTCATTCGCTCTCGTGCAAGACGGATGCTTTACTTCCCGTCTCCTGCTTTTTTGCTCACAGCCCTGTGTATCAGAGCTTCTATTTACAAATCTTCCAAATCATAAATTACTGTCATGGGTCTGGTCAGCTGGACTTTCAATGCAAATGATTAAAAAAAAATTTTACCAAGCAACAGGGTCCTGGAGAACCCTCATGCCCCGCTGAGACACACGTCATGGATCCGTGGGGAGAATGGAAATTGATGTGCCTTTCTGTATTGTCTCAGGAGGATACCGAAGATGTATACATCATTGGAATTATGATAGCAGGGTTTCTGCTTTTTGGCACCCATGTTATCGACTATTAAAAAAGATGACCGCAGCAGTTTCAGCCATGGCAAAGCTGCCAACCAGGACTACGGTGCTATCTAGAAGTGCTTCATGGACAAATCTCACAGTTTTGTCATCAAATGCACATGTAATGTGTCTATAAATGTGCTTACTAGTAGAGTTTTTTGATGTCTTAAATTGTGTCCTGACAAGGACATGGTATGAAGAGATGTTTTGTAATATCACTATCCTTTCCTTATGGCCTTTCCCCTTTTCAGTCTAAAAGAATAAGGGGCCATGCTGTTAGGAGCAGCAGCAACGTGCACTCAGCCCATCTTTTGGACCACTACGGACATAATCTCGCTGTACTTCGGTGCAATGATAATAAAGCTTATTCTGATTCTGATTTAAGACATGACATAATGAAAGCAGTATTTTTCAAAAGCAGAGTAAAATTTATTTTGGAGTGTCACCACGAAGATTATCAGTGACCTGGCGACCACTTTTTACCAATGTTCTAAATCTTGTGTCTGTTTACGATACCTGTTTGGTTCTCAGTGGTAGCCGTTTACACTGGTAAACATTCCTATTTATGTATTTATTTATTTTTGTTTGTTTGTTGTTGTGTGTTTTGTTGTTTTTTTTTTGGGGGGGGGGCATACTGAAAATTTTGCACATGAAACATTTGTTCTATTAGGTTGTTTTCACACCAGATAGTTCGGTAGACTCGGTTCGGTTCGGGACCAGTATTCATGACCTTTTGTTTACATTTGAGCTGGTGCGTTTGCATTCACACTGCACTGTGCAGTCGAGTCAACCTGTTGAACCAACCTGTTCCCCCGCTCGCCTGTGGGGGCGCTGCACCAAGAACTACTGAAAGAAACGACACAAAAACGACACAAAAACCTCTGAAAACACGTCTTCTTCTTCTGTAAATAAAAACAAAAACAAAGTGGCATCAAGTTTTAGCAGTTTTAGGAGTTGTTTTGTAATTTTTCAAAAATGGACTCAGCATGAGCAGAAGATGAGACAGAAGACCATGAAGAATATTGTTTTTCACACAAGTCAGCTGACGGCTCCATATAAGGTCAGAGAAATGCGTGTTTGTTTGTCCTGCGGAGCGGGGCTCGGTCTGTTTACATTCACACTGTACTCGAACCGCGCTGGAGTTTTCTTCTACCGGACCGAGACCTAGGTTTTAGCCCGGGCCAGAGTTCACCTTTTTGTTCCATGACAGAGTTCGATGGCACGTTCACACCTCCCTAAACGAACCGGACTTTCTAGGAAAATGAGCTAGAGTTTGATTAAAGCGGACTAAACATGGCTGGTGTGAATGCACCCTTAAACTCCCAAATGGAAAGGTTTGCATTATTAAAAGCACATTTTCAGTAAGATGGTTATCCAACCAACAGGGAGCAGTGCAGAGCCAGTGGCCGAATGGTGTTTCACTATATCTTTCTGAGTCCTCCTATAGGACATTCATAACTTTAATGTAAATGTTACCTATAATATTAATCTTTTTGTTTGTTTTGTCAAAAGCAAAATGGGACTGTAGCATGGTGACCAGTGAGACCAAGTGACCACTCCAGATATTTCACCCTATCTGACTCTTTTTCCACCTCTACTACTTTTTGATCTGTGGAAGGAAACCGAACACGGAGAAAGCCCACGCATGCAACGAGAGAACATGCACACTTCACCCAGAAAGACCCCCGGCTGGAATTTGATCCGTCAACCTTCTTGCTGAGAGCCGCTCCAACAACTGCGCAACCGTGCTGCTCCCCTTGGTTGAAATCCTCAAAATTTAGTGAGACTGCATCAGAAAGTTCCCCGAATTTCTTGTAATCTTGTGTCACCAACTAGTCTCAAACTGTCACAGCCCAGGGACGTACTGAGCCTAAAGCGTTGTGGAAATGATCAGAGGGTTTGAGTTTTTCCCACCGTCACTTGAACAGGGACTGAAGAACGGGAACAGCTTCTCTCTGAACTTACAGTTGGTGAAGGAGTAAATCAGGGCCGCAGTATCTGGATCGTAAAAGCAAACCAGACCCTTGTTATAGTCCACAAACACTCCCACCTTCTGGGGGTTGCACTTCAAATGAAGAGGGACAGAAGGTCCGGTAAGAGCTCTGTATTGTCCATTTCTTAACCATACGACCCAGAAACCGTTTTCAGGGCAGATCGTGTTCTCACCTCTCCTGTTAAAAGATTCTCGGACCACTCCGAGTTCCCATTTACTTTTCCCTTGAACCTGAACCTCGTAATAAAATCTTCCTGAGGAGAAAGCCTGCTCTCCCAGGACAGCAAAAGAGGGCAATCTTTCTGATTTGTTGGGGAGATTCTGCTCGATCTCGCCACAGCTCACCTGTTTACCGTCCTCTGACAGAACCAGATAAGGATTTGCCGTATTCTGATCCAGAGTCACATCCACCACGTACAGCTGCACCTTGGACAGTTCGACCTCGTCACACAGCTTTTTCATCTGTCTGCTGAGCGTCTCGAGTTCAGCCGCTGCTCTCCTCACAGTCCCGTCACAAGAGGACTCAACTCGGATATTTGTCCAGTCCTTGGTTCTGACTTTCAGGGACGGTAGGTTTCGTAGCAGCTGGAGGTGGTCCTCGGTTTGAGAAAGCGACTTCAGTTCCGAGCTTTTCTTCATCAGCTCAGAGATCTCCTCTTCCAGCTCTTTCATGAAGCCTTCCGCTTGTTTCTCCACCGTTTTCTGTTTCCGTTTGATCACGTCAATGAGCAGATCTAGGTTTCTCCGAGCAGATTTAATCAAAGTGGAACAGTCCTCCACGACAGCTGCTGTCACATCCTCCACGTCTTCCTTGCTGAGCTTCACTGACTGTTTGATCTGCTCGATCTTCAGCAGTCTCTCCTGGATCATCTGCTGGACGTTTGCACCGGTCCTCTCCAGCTCTTTCTTCTTCCATTTGCACTCTTTGATCAGAGGGACAACCTCATGTCTTTTGTGATCAGCCACGGTGCAGGACTGGCAAATGGACATCTGATCTGTCCTGCAGAACATATCTAGTGGTCTCTTGTGCTTCTTACACATTCTGTTCTCCAGGTTCTCCACAGGATCGACCAGTGTATGTCTCCTCAGGCTGGAGATCCTATGATGAGGCTCCAGGTGAGTCTCACAGTAGGAGGACAGACAATCTAGGCAGGACTTGACAGCTTTCTGTTTGCTTTTAGTGCAGACGCCACAAGGGACATCTTCTGGAAAGATTCCCTGTGAGATTCTTGTAGCTCTCCTTCCAGACGAGGACCTGAAATGAGCAGCCATGTCAGATATGACAGTGTTGATTCTCAGTGCTGGTTTCGTGTCAAAAATCTTCCTACACACGAGACACTGCTGCTGGGTGCTGATACTCCAGTCCTCCGCAATGCAGGATCTGCAGAAGTTGTGTCCGCACGGTACAGTGACCGGGTCGGTGAGTATATCCAGACACACAGAGCACAGGAACTGATCTTCAGACAGGAAACTGCTGCCAGTAGCCATGGTTACGCACTAAAATCACAAGTGAAAGTATAAATTATCACCAACATGTCACATGTTTTAAACGTAACTTTACATCCAAATAAGTCAAGTTTACGAAGCACTTGAAAAAGTCACAAAGTGCCTCAAAATAAAATACAGTAAAGAATACAATGTGAAATTAACCTTTAAAGATATTTCCAACTATAACATCTGTCTGTCATTCATCGTATAACTACTTTTTGTAATAAAGCCCAGAAATTATTTGTAATTTTATAATGATCTAAGAGAGATCCAAGGTCAAAAGAGGAGTTAAAGGTGCCACCAGTGGCACAGTGGAGTCAGCCTCCCCACCATCACAAACATCTACACCTCTAGGTGCAGGAAGAGAGCCACCTGCATCATGAAGGACCCCACTCACCCAGCACACTCACTTTTTGCCCCGCTCCCCTCAGGAAGGAGGTTGAGGAGCATTAAGTGTAGAACCACTAGACTGAGGAACAGCTTTTACCCTGAAGCTGTTAGACTCATGAATCTCTAACCAGAATAATCACTGTGAGAAAAAAAATCACTGTAATGCCACTTGATTGCTGATATGTGCTGCTGATCTTATGCTGCTGATTTATGTCACACTGCTGTGTTTATTTGTCCTCATCTGCTCACACAGACTCATGTTCGTGCTGCTGTTGTTCGGCATATTGTTTTTGTACTATTAGTGTTTAGTGTATTTCTTAGTTCATATCTTAGATCTTATTACTGTTTTTCTTTACAATTTATACTTTTGTTGGATGTAACTGGGACCCTGTGTACACAATTTCGTTCCACCACATGTACCACATGTGGTGCGAATGACGAATAAAGAGACTTTACTTTGGACTTTGACATTGGGATCACCATGGCAATAACACAGCTGTGTCTTTCACTCCCTGACAGCACTCTAGCGACAGGAGTCTTAAATAACCCTCAAACACCGTGTTAATATATTGTTCTGAAAAACTTCTAGAACATCTATCTGTTCGTTGCACACGTTAGTATTTACGTCTACAGCACACATCTAAGCCAGTGGGTCGCATCCATTTAAATCATTCTGTATGCAAATCTAAAATCTCTTTGCCGTGCTTTTATTTTGAAGGTAAGTGGCTGTTGACATCTGCAGCCTCCTGTGTGCGCACTGGCAGCATAATCTCTTCACTGGTAGCAGAGTTTGTAAGAGATACGAGTTGCTGTTATGTTGGCACACATCCATCCATCCATCCATCCATCCATCCAACCACCTAGACCAGCCACTTACTTTACCCGCTTCCTCCTTTCCAGTAGCTCACACAGAATGTTGAATACCAGTATGTTTTTTTTTAATGGTCTTTGAAGTATTTATTTCCTGTCAGTGACAGAGTGAGCACAGTGTTTAAAGGCTGTAATCAGTAAAATCATAATAAACTTACAGAAAAAACAGCAGACCCACATAAGAAGTTTTACTGTCCTAAGTGTTAATTACATGACTTCATGCTCATGTGCAACATGTTCCGACCCGACATGAATTTGATTTCTTTCTTAAAGAGCAACATTTAAACACAGATACAGTGGAGGTCAGTGAGGGCTTGGATGTGTGAGAACTAAAGGAGAAAACCAGCAGTGAGAGACACACTGGGTGGAAGAAAACAAAACTGACATGTTGATACGAGTTGCTGTTATGTTGGTACACATCCATCCATCCATCCATCCATCCATCCATCCATCCATCCATCCAT